AAAAATAAAATCGAAAAGAAAAGAAAAAGCTATCGATAACACTTTTTCACATGATGTACTGCATCATATTATGAATAACAAGGAATCAAGATAATGAGTCAAAATATATAGATTGAAGTAATAATTTGCCAAATAAATAGACGCAGTCCTAGAAAATTGATTTTATTAGATAAACCTAAAGTTATTGAATTTATAGAGTGAACACCTAAAGATGTATACTTTTGCGAAAAAGAAATGAAAAGAAATAAAGTCATAATATAAAATGTATGACCCTTCCACAATGAATTTCGCGAAAACTTATATAAATAGATAAGTTATTTTATGTTGTGGATGTAATAATATGTCTCTATATTGTGAACGTGATAATAAATGAAATTTGATATGTATATAATAAATGTGATTATAGTTAACTTATCTTATATAATTTAATACTATTATTGAATGATTTAATATGCTTGATGCATAATTCAAGAGATGTTATCAAGATAATGAGTAAATACACATTGCACTCTTTTTTCCTTGACCAAGATTTTGTCCTATTGGATTCCCTTGATAATGTTTTTAATGAGATAACTTTTGTAGCATACTTAAAATGAATAAATGTACTATTTTTCCTTCATTAAGATTTTCTTGAAGAAAACTCATGCAAATGTTGCAAAATATTCTATAAGGCTTTTCCTAATAAGATTTTGATAAGACATATTCTTTGTGTAATAAGTATCCATAACATACAAGACAATTTACTTTTAAAATAATACTCTGATATATATGAGACTTCTGAAAATATCAATAAGAGCTATTTTTCGAATCATCATATTACTGCAGTCATCAAGTTTTGTTTCTCCGAATTTTCTTGAAGTTGCTGACGTACAAGATATCAATATTGACATACAAGATATGGATCGCTTGATACAATAATTAAAGTTAGGGGAGTAATTGTATTTTTTTTCTTTAATCAAGTTTTGTCCCATCGAATTTTCTTGCCAAGGGTTTAACAATACAACATTTTATTACTCCAAACTATTTGTATTTGTTTCATTTGTTGGCATTTTTTTTCCATCAAACTTTTTACTAAACAAAGTCCCAACAAGATAGTTATTGTGTAAACAATCAATTAAGGAAAGTGCTGTAAATATAAAAATATTTATAATTGACTTTTACATTTGTTGTATCCGTAGTTATTATGATTGATGTATCCCTTATAGCTCTAATTCTTTATAAATATGAAATTTTGGTTCTTAAGAAAATACACAAGTTGTCGACTTTTCTCTTTAGTTTATAACACAAATCACTATTTTAAGCCGTTCTTATTTTATTGTTCAAATAAGTTACTTATTTTAATTTTCTTTTAACAAAAATAAATTTATTTTAATTTTTAGTTTTATACTTGTAAGTAAACTTTTTAAACATGGCCAATCGTAAATAATAAACAATACCAATTATTTATGCTAACGAAATATTAGAATTTTGAATAATTCCCCTTTAGAGTCCAGTTCATTCTTCTTTATGAGCATAAGGGCCTTTTATGGTGATTTCTTAAAATGTGCTTTCGTCTTGTATTTTTTTATATATGTCGGTTTATATAAGGAATAAATTTGGAAATAGAAAGAAGGCATTGATTCTATTTTTGCTATATCTGACTTGCTCAAAAAGATTAGTAATGTAGCTAAAGCTTTACAACTTGAGTTTATTTACAAGTGATTATTGAAGATTGCTTTTTATTTAATATGACGTGGTGTTGCAGCGAGTTCTTCAACGAAAAACAATTATAAAATTTATTGACCATTTTAAGGGTGTGTTTGTCCCTCATTATTTGGGAAGAATGTATTATGAAATAGTGATTGATGTTGAAATGTGTGATTAAGAGAGAATGAAATTTTTTTGATTTACTTGTAATATTATTTTAATGAAGAATGTGTGGTTGAAAATGAATACTGTAAAAAAAAATAACGAAAAAGAATGGGAGAAAATTGATGACAAACATGGACTAAATAAAATAGACTTTGAGAACTACATGAAATTAATGTTGTAAATTGAACAACTATGACGGATTTTACTTATTTTGTTTATTGCTCAAACTTGTTTCACTTTATGCACAAATCTCAAAAAAGTATATAAGATAACATTTTGATGAGAGATGCTACATTTCCAGAAAAATGGATGACATGATGATTGACAGATTCTCACAATTGGGGGTCCCACTTTTCTTTTCAAAATATTTTAATTTGCGGGTCCCACAACAATGTGAGTATCTGTCAAAAGGAATGTCAACCATTTTTCTGTACAAATGATTTTTCTCTATTTTGATATATACTTTTAATGGAAAAGAACAAACATTAATTAAAAACTTATAATTCTATGTTAAGAAATATGATTTTTTATTATAACAAGAAACAAGATAGCTTATCGTATACAATTGATTGTGCGCTATTTGACAAGTATTTGTAGAATTTACACAATTTGGTGCTCTTAAATTATTCGAACATCACATAAATATTCAAAAAATTTCCAATAATTTTTGTGTATAAATTCAAGAAGGTCCAATAAGATTCCAAAGATGTAATAATATGCGCGCTCTCTCTCTCTCTCAAAAAAAAGAAAAAAAAAGGACATGAACTATTAATTACGTGATTGTCTAAACATGTTTGCAAGGCAAACTTACCTTTAAATAAATTATGTTTCCCACATTATTTTTTCTCGTAGAAAGTAAAATTATTACTCAATTTGACATTTAGGTATTGATTACTTTAAAGTTAAGAGCATTCTCATTGAGAACTTGAATTGTACTAAAAGGTGTCACGTCATTTCAAATATGATTGTGTTGTATGAAAAAATGAAAATATTCCATTTGAATTTTTATAATCTATGTTCACGTCACCTGTACATCTTTCTTTTGTACATATGACTAACAATTCTCTCAATTCATTGCCTCCTTGGAGATGCTATTTTCTCCATCCCCATTTTGCTTCCCAAGAATGATCACGTTGAATCCATCTTTCTTATAAACTCTAGTTTAAATTTACACAATACACACAAGCGCCTTATTCTACTTAGATTTTTTTATTGCTTTATAGTGGTACCACAGTGAGAAACTTTTAAGGAAAAATTGAAGTTACAGTACCAAACCTTTATGTTTTAAGCAGACTTTATTTAAACCTTTATTTTGTTGCACTCATAGTACCAAATTTTTCAAAATTTCACACTTGAAGTCCAAATGAATGATTTTTGTTAGTTTGACCGTTAGTTAACTCAATAAATTGACTTTAACCAATTTTAAAAGTGGTAAATTATTAACATTGAATAAAAATTTAAAGAAACTATAAAAGAAATAAAAGGGTCTTCTTCTTCACCAATCCTATTCCCCAAACCCACCCCCGTCCGATGGCACCATCTAGGAAAATTGAAGAGAAGATAGACTTCAATGTTGAAAACATACAGAAACTAAAGAGAATATACAGAATTTGAAGAAAAGATACTCTTCACACCTAACTAGGGTTTCACTCCATTGTGAGCCAGCCTATCATATTTTGCATTCGATTTTCTAAGCTAAGAAGGTAAATATACGGAAACCCTTTTTTATTTTGTATTTTGAGTATGATTTTCATTTTTCTGGGCATTTTTTTTGACATTTTGTCGAGTGTTAAAATCACAAACTAACAAACAACTAATCTCAACTTACTTCACCTCCAAATAGTGAAAATATATCATTCTAATCCACCAAATTTGTTGCTTCGAAATATTTGCTGTGAAAAGTGTTTCTATAAATCGTTGAAAAATATGTTACAAAAAATCATAACTTTGGGGTTTGAAAAGTGTGCGAAAATGGCTAGTGCGAACTCTACTATGTAAAATCATTTCGAGTTACTATGAAGGCTTTATTTTGTTAGGATTTTGGTGTTTCATGTTGAGAAAAATGTAGGGAAATCTGAAAATTTAATGAACACCAAGGCTCGAAAAACGTTATCTTTTAAGAGATATTTCTTCCCTATCCAACGAAGTCGCAAATGAGATATGATAGAAAATCTCTCTCAGGATACAATGGAGGCATTTGATTCAAATTGTGACTATTTGATTAAATCAATAAGACACTCGAAAAGAATTGATGATGCCAAGAGAAAGAGAGAAGAATAATTTTTTAATATGTTTTATAAACGAGAATTCGCCCAAAATTTATAGAAATTGAGGCAACCATTTGAATAGGTGTGTCCATTGAAATGAAGAACACATCTGTTGAAATTTAACTGTCAAAAACGAACAGATGCACCTACTCAAAGACTTTTGAAAATAAAATTCTTTTTTTGGGGCGTTGCCCCCGAGCCTCCACGAGGGGCGCTGCCCCCTTGACGATCCCCGTTGCGCAGTGGCAAACACTAGTCTAGACGGCAAATCATTCGTAAAACAAAAAATAAATACATGCAAAATGATGAAAAATATCTAACATTTCAGACCAGAAGAATTGAGGTTAAATAGTGAAAATTGAAGTGCACAAAAATATTGTGTTCTAGGAAAATCATAAATCTTGTAGAAGATTGGTGCCATTGGACGTGTTGACATCTACGATTGCTTTTCAGGGACAGAAGTGGTGGGTTGGGGATGGGTGAAGAAGAAAACCATTTTATTTCCTTTTTTGTTTTAATTTTAATTCGAAGTTACCATTTTACACATTTTAAAATTGGTTAAAGTCAATTTATTGGGTTAACTAATGGTCAAACTAACAGAAATCATCAATTTGGTCTTCAAGTGCTATTTTTGAAAGGTTTGGTATTGGAGTACAACAAAACAAGGTTTAGGCAAAGTCTGCTTAAAATTGAAAGATTTGGTACCGTGACTGCAATTTTCCCTACCTTTAATGGTGTCTAATAAAAAAAATAATTCATTTGGAGACATTTTTTTTTTTAATAATCAAATTACCAGTAAACTTATAGATGTTTTAAGCTTTGCCAAACATGGCAAAAATGAGAAAAGATAAGTTCTGTTGCTGCTCACCTTAACTATTATGCCGTCTCACTTTCGTCCCCAAACCCCTCTTGTAGTTTGGACTACGCATACCCTAACTCTCTCACCCACATAATAATATCTCTCTAGATATATTTACACACATTTTATCTCTCTGTGTGATCAGTCAGCGATAAAACGATAATAAATATACAGAGAACATATATATATAGGAATCAATCAACTAGACCACCCTAGAAAACCTAACAATGAAACACCACCACCACCACCAAAACTTGCCGTCCTCCGCCGCTGACGCTGCCGTGTCTTCCTGCGATGCTACCCCCATGACTTTATCATCGACGTGTTCATCACCGCACCAGCAATCCCCTCCTCCTGAGAAGCCTTCCCTAGCGGTCGAGGATCCGTCGAGGGACGTGGCATCCACCTCTGCCATCGCCACGACGGCATCTTCGGAGTCGGTGGTGGTGGAGATGCGGGGGGACTATTCTGCTATTTGCAAGTGGACCATCGCCAATTTCCCGAGGGTCAAGTCGCGCGCCTTGTGGAGCAAGTACTTTGAGGTTGGCGGCTACGACTGCCGTTTGTTAATCTACCCCAAGGGTGACTCGCAGGCGCTGCCTGGTTACCTTTCCATTTACCTTCAAATCATGGACCCCCGCAACACCGCCTCTTCTAAGTGGGATTGCTTCGCCAGCTACCGCCTCGCCATTGACAATCCCTCGGATCCCTCGAAGTCCGTGCATCGTGACAGTTGGCACCGATTCTCCTCCAAGAAGAAGTCCCATGGCTGGTGCGATTTTGCCTCCCTTAACTCCCTATTAGACCCTAAGCTTGGCTTCCTGCATTCCTCGAATGATTGCATTCTCATTACCGCAGATATTTTAATCCTCCATGAGTCCTTTTCCTTTGCACGTGATAATTATGATTTGCAGTCGAATAATGTGTCAAATATGGCCGGGAGCGGGGTTGTGGGGCCAGTTGTAGGGGATGTTTTGAGTGGGAAGTTTACTTGGAAAGTGCATAATTTTAGTTTGTTTAAGGAGATGATAAAGACACAGAAAATAATGAGCCCTGTTTTCCCGGCTGGGGAGTGTAATTTACGAATTAGTGTTTATCAGAGTATTGTTAATGGAGTGGAGTATTTGTCCATGTGTTTGGAGAGTAAAGATACAGAGAAGAATGCGATGGCGTTGGATAGGAGTTGCTGGTGTTTATTTAGGATGTCAGTGTTGAATCAGAAGCCTGGTAATGGTTTGAATCATGTGCATAGGGATAGCTATGGGCGGTTTGCTGCAGATAATAAGACCGGAGATAACACGAGTTTGGGGTGGAATGACTATATGAAGATGGCAGATTTCATGGGGTCCAGCTCAGGCTTTTTGGTGGAAGATACGGCGGTTTTTAGCACGTCATTCCACGTGATTAAGGAGTTGAGTAGTTTCTCGAAGAGTGGTACACTGATTGGTGGGAGAAATGGTGGCAATGTGAGGAAAGCAGATGGGCATGTGGGGAAGTTTACATGGAGAATTGAAAATTTTACACGGTTGAAGGACCTTTTAAAGAAGAGGAAGATTACAGGGCTTTGCATTAAGAGCAGGAGGTTTCAGATTGGGAATCGGGATTGCCGACTTATTGTTTACCCCAGAGGTATGTTGTATTCATTTACTCTGGAGGGAATACCTGTTGTATATTTGTTCTTATCTCATTTTATTAAATTTGAAGGGTAGTGGCATCTGAAGTTCTTTGTTGTTCTTATATTTAGGTGAAAAAGATGCTAGCAATATTAATATGTCGGCATTTGTTGTTCTTGTGCCCTTGAGTTTTACCCCACGCATTAGTCTAGCTGAAGGTGTGTGGTAGAGAGCAAGGGCTTGTTTGCTATTAAGTTATGTCCTGCTGTTGGGATTGTAAAGCCAGTTGTAGAGCTTATACATGCTTAAATGCTGAAAAGTGGAGTACTGGATCTTACTTGTACTTTGATTGAGAAGGAAAAAGCTCATCTTATATGTGTTGGTCATACATCTAAACTTCAGTCCTAGTAGAACTTGCTGCCTGAACATCATGTTTTTTGTTATTCTTAAGCTGATCTATATACCTTCTTGACATTATGAGCAGAATTATGCAACAAAAATAATATATATCTATGGTTAAAGGACATTGTCTTGATAACAAATTTCAGATTCCCCATGCAGAATCATCCTTGCATTTGAGACATTTAACATATGTTTGTATGGTCACATATGGACTAAACTAAGTGGTGTAATGGACATATGGACTGCTGAGGCTAGTAGTTCCATTTTTTGATAAATGAAAAGGGATATCACTTGTTCATATAGCTTATTGAGATTTCCTTACATCCTAATTAAGCTGTTGAGCTGATGAATATAACATTTATGCTTCATGGTATCAGGGCAGTCACAACCTCCATGCCACCTTTCTGTATTTCTTGAAGTCACAGACTCACGAATTGCTAATGGTGATTGGAGTTGTTTTGTGAGCCATCGTCTATCAGTTGTGAACCAGAGGATGGAGGACAAGTCAGTCATGAAGGAATCTCAAAATCGATATTCCAAGGCTGCCAAGGACTGGGGTTGGCGTGAGTTCGTGACACTCACCAGTCTCTTTGACCAAGACTCTGGATTTCTAGTCCAGGACACTGTTGTCTTCTCTGCTGAGGTTCTTATACTGAAGGAGACTTCCATAATGCAGGACTTCACTGATCAGGAAACTGAGTTGGGAAATGTCAGTTCTCAGTTTGAGACTGTTGGTAAAAGGAGTTCATTCACATGGAAGGTTGAGAACTTCTTGTCCTTCAAGGAAATAATGGAAACGCGAAAAATATTTAGTAAATTTTTTCAAGCTGGTGGATGTGAGCTTCGGATTGGTGGGTGGATTTTCCTCGATCTTGACTTTTTAACGTTGAAACTTCCATATCTTCTCTTGGTGTTCATTCTGATGACTAATTTTGAGTTTTTCATCAACACCACATTTGTTCTTGCAGGAGTTTATGAGTCTTTTGACACCATATGCATATATTTGGAGAGTGACCAATCAGCTAGCAGTGATCCTGAGAAGAACTTTTGGGTCAAATACAAAATGGCTATAGTGAATCAAAAAACTCAATCTAAAACTGTTTGGAAGGAGTCATCTATATGCACTAAGACATGGAACAATTCTGTTCTTCAATTCATGAAGGTGTCTGACATGTTGGAAGCTGATGCAGGATTTCTTGTACGTGATACAGTTGTATTTGTTTGTGAGATCCTGGACTGCTGTCCCTGGTTTGAGTTTGCTGACTTAGAGGTTAGCAATTCATTTATTTAGCATCATAATCTGCTACCTCCCCCTTGCCCCCTTTGAAGCGAAGGAAATTTCTTCCAAGTGCTCTAACGTTACCCTCATTGCTATCCAATTTCTTCTACACTTGGATCTTAGCTAACAAAGTACGAATTCCACAGTTATAGCATATTGCCCTGGGAAGGTTTTGAAAGGCACGTGTTGTTTTTTGTCTCTCTTCTTGTCACACATCAGCACAGTGCCTTTAATTTTGGAAAATAAATCATAGACCTTAATGAAAGGAAATAATGGTTCAGATGCTTTGGCTTAGATGGGTTGCCAAAATCATCTTCTTGAACAATTCCTTTCTACCACTTAAACAATTGCCACTTTGCATGTAATATACATGCCATAATTCCACATTTCTTGGGTCATCATGTCGGATGGAATTGTAGCACCAAGATCCCTACAAGAGATGAATATTAGGACCCCAGATTAGGTTTCCCTTTTAATTGTTAATTTTTTGTAGGGAAATAGATATCTTCAGACTGCAGTTGATTTAATAATTACTGCCTGAATAATTGTGATCTTGGAAATCAACAAATGCATCAACAAATGCGTTCCTTAAGAGGCTGACTGGGCTAAACCTCCTTTATGATGGTTTATCCCTTTGAATTATGATTGTTATCGTCAGAAACAAAAAACAGAAGGAACCAAGGTAACTGATAAATTAGTATTTTCGCTTGGAGTGTTCCTTGTAGCTCGTTTTATATATTACTCATTGCGTCCTGAATCAACTATTAGTATATGATTCTGTTGCTTCGTTTGCCCCTTTATATACTGTAACTGGAACTATTTATATATGTATGTGTGCGCTTGCTCCTGGTGCACATGTGAGGATTGGGAGGTAGTGGATGAATTCATTGCTATCTGTGGGTGTAATTTTTAAAATAAATATACTTTCTCGTATCATATTGTCATACTATATATTGTATTTTTCATGAAATGATCTTGGTACAAAATTTGAAGTTGCACCAGACGATTCCATTTGCTATGTGGAAATTTTTTCGCTTTTACTGCACACATGAAATTTGATTTGATTCTATCATGAATGCTTATAGTAGATAATTCTTGCTTCAGAAACATTTCATTTTGGAATCTTTAATTGAGTCTGACATTCTGAAATCTTGACATTTGCGTTTAGAGTTTATTAGCTACAACAATGACTACAAAATTATGTGGAAAATTTATACACACGAGTTTAAGAATTCTTGAATGAGCCTAAAATGATCTCATTCATCTGCCAGCCAACTTTAGCCTTTGTACTTGTTATATTTTATCTCGGACTTTATGCATCATATGAAGTTTTGAGACCTTCATTTAATCGCTTGCATATTTAAAATGATAAAAATATTTAGATATGGCAGCATTCTACCTTAGACCGTTTTCTTTTAATAAAACTTATCATAATCCCTTAGCTGGCATGTGCAGGTCGTATATTGATGCAAAAATTTGAAATGAGTGCCATTTCTTACTAATGATATTGTCCCAACTCCCAAGTGCTCAATGTTTCTAAACTCTGTTCATGTTTCCATATTAATCTCAATTTACCGGTGTTATATCCTGGACTTCCTTTTGTCAGGTTTTGGCTTCTGAAGATGACCAAGATGCTCTGACAACTGACCCTGATGAACTCATTGATTCTGATGACAGTGAAGGAATAAGTGGAGATGAGGAAGACATCTTCAGAAATCTTCTTTCTAGAGCAGGGTTTCACCTTACTTATGGAGATAATCCTTCTCAGTTGCAGGTCACATTGAGAGAGAAACTTCTTATGGATGCTGGGGCAATAGCTGGTTTTTTGACTGGACTTCGGGTTTATCTCGATGACCCTGCAAAAGTTAAACGCTTGCTTCTTCCTACAAAGATATCTGGAACTAATGATGGGAAGAAGATCAATAAGAATGACGAGTCTTCTCCTAGTCTGATGAATTTACTAATGGGAGTAAAAGTTTTGCAACAAGCAATCATTGATTTACTTCTAGATATAATGGTTGAGTGTTGCCAACCCTCAGAAGGAAGTTCGAATGATGATTCTTCAGATATGAGCTCCAAACCTTCCCCAGATGGAAGTGGAACAATTAGTCCAGTGGAAAGTAGTAGAGATGATGGAGCTACAGAATCTGCCCAGCTTCCCACATGTGAGAGATTTGATTCAGGAATAGATGAAACCATAAATGCATCTGCTGTACAAAGCTCAGATGTTAATGGAACTAATATACCTTCTAAAGCTGATCCTGGACAGCCTACTTGTCCACCAGAAACATCTGCTACCGATTCGTTCGAAAATCCTTCCTTGCGGTCCAAGGTATCATGCTATATTATCTTTTCTAATTAAGTTCTTGGTTACTTGGTATAGTATATATTGATGAAAGATTCATTTCATGCTAAGTGGCCGGAGCAATCGGAGGAGCTTCTTGGATTGATAGTGAACTCGTTGAGGGCACTTGATGGAGCCGTTCTACAAGGTTGTCCAGAACCAAAAAGAAGGCCACAGTCTGCACAAAAGATTGCTCTTGTATTGGATAAAGCTCCAATGCATCTACAACCAGACCTGGTTGCTTTGGTTCCGAAATTAGTTGAGCATTCAGAACATCCACTTGCTGCTTCTGCACTTTTAGATCGTCTTCAGAAGCCAGACGCAGAACCTTCACTGCGTTTGCCTGTAAGGAATCTGGGACTGCTAACTGCATTTTTGTTGCTTTTAGATTACTTTAAGATCATAGGTGTTACCCAGATAATGTCATCTTAGTTTGATTACTTTTCACTGCTTATAGTTAAGCTTTAACTCTTTGTTCCTTAGGTTTTTGGAGCACTTAGTCAGTTGGAATGTAGCAGTGAAGTTTGGGAACGTGTTCTTTTTCAGTCGTTAGAGCTTTTGGCTGATTCTAATGACGAACCTCTTGCGGCGACAGTGGACTTTATATTCAAAGCTGCATTACATTGCCAACATCTTCCTGAAGCAGTATGCACGAATGGAAACCAAATCTATTTTCATAGCCTGATTTCTTTTTCTGCTTGCTTCGTTTTAGCATGTTATTAACTTTTGTTGGTCTTCGTTGCAGGTAAGGTCTGTTCGAGCCAGGCTAAAATATTTAGGCACTGAAATCTCTCCATGTGTCTTAGATTATTTGAGTGGAACTGTAAATAGTTATGCAGATATTGCTGAAGCTATTCTTCGAGATATTGATAGTGATGATGATTTTGGTGACATTCCTTCCCCAATCCCTTGTGGACTTTTCATATTTGGTGAAAGTGGGTCTAGTTCTGAAAGACTACATATAGTGGAAGAGCAAGCATTCCGTGCTAGACATCATTTTACTGACATCTATATCCTAATTGAGATGTTATCTATCCCTTGCCTTGCTGTTGAAGCCTCCCAAACTTTTGAGAGAGCTGTAGCACGTGGAGCTTTTGTTCCTCAGTCTGTAGCCATGGTCTTGGAAAGACGCCTTGCTCGCCGTTTGAATTTGAATGCACAATATATTGCTGAGAGTTATCAGCAACCGGATCTAGTTGTAGAGGGAGAAGCCCTTGAGCAACTGACGGCCCAACGAGATGATTTCACCTCGGTTCTTGGTCTTGTGGAGACATTAGCACTCTCTAAGGACCTGTGTGTTAAAGTATTTGTAAAGATGCTGTACCCTATGTTGTTCAAATGGTATGCTGATGAGTCTTACAGAATTAGAATGCTTAAGAGACTTGTCAATCGTGCTACAAGTACTGCAGATAGTAGTCGTGAAATAGATTTGGATTTGGATATTTTGGTGATCTTGGTGTGTGAGGAGCAAGAAATAGTTAGACCAGTGCTGAGCATGATGCGAGAGGTTGCTGAACTTGCAAATGTTGATCGGGCAGCTCTTTGGCATCAGTTATGTGCCAGTGAAGACGAGATTCTTCATGTTCGTGATGAAAGAAAAGCTGAAAGTGCAACTATGTCTGAAGAAAAAGCTATTTTGTCTCAAAGGCTGAGCGAGTCGGAGGCTACTACTAGCCGCCTAAAGGTACATAATATCTCTTCGTCCACTAATGTTTCAAGCATATATACATGTATATGTGTGGAAAAGAAAGAAAAATATCACTGCTGCTGACACTTATATGGAATGGCAGTCCGAGATGAAGGCTGAGACAGATCGTTTTGCTCGAGAAAGAAAGGAGCTTACAGAACAGATACAAGAATTTGAGTGTCAACTTGAGTGGGTTCGCTCAGAACGAGATGACGAAATCACAAAGCTTATGGCAGAGAAGAAATTTTTTCAAGATCGTTTACATGATGCAGAGACACAGCTCTCCCAATTGAAGTCTAGAAAGCGTGATGAATTGAAGGTTTGACGTTCTTATCTTGTTTTTGCACTTCTTTGTAGCTGTCATCTGTGACTTAAAATGCTCTTGAAATCTTTTGAAAGATATATGTTACAATATTTGCTAACTTCTTTTAGAGAGCTAACATGGGGCAGTTTGACAGTGGAAAAGGAAAGTAATTTCTTTTGCATGGTTTTTTGAATGGGAAATGATCTTTAAACTTTGATAGGGCGTTTCTTGAAAATCCGAGTTTAAATTGAATAAATTTTTTTGAAGTGTTAAATGATCTGGGGTCTTGCATCCTTCTCTGACATTCATAAGTGATAATAGAACAAAACAGCTTTCTTTTTCGCCGGAGCACTTTTATCACATTCTTATGAAGGCTTAGGACTTGAGCACTTATGAATCATTGTGTTGATGCTTTGCCTGATGATAAATTTTGAATGTCTCAGAGGGTAATGAAGGAGAAAAATACTCTTGCTGAAAGGCTAAAGAGTTCTGAAGCAGCACGGAAAATATTTGATGATGAACTGAAACGATATGCTGCAGAAAATGTCACTCGAGAAGAGATTCGGCAATCACTTGAGGATGAAGTTCATAGGCTGAAACAAACAGTTGTGCAAGCTGAAGGAGAGAAGCGTGAGAAGGAGGAACATGTTGCTCGATGCAAGGCATATATTGATGCGATGGAATCCAAATTACAAGCCTGCGAGGTCTTTGCTTTAAACTCCTTGCTTAATTCGCATTTTGTTTGGTAGATCCTTGATCTTCTTTTAGTTATTTTCAGTGCTAAGCCAACTGAAAGCTTTTTGATTAATTTCGCTTCTATCTTGCACTCATTTAATTGAGGAAATAATTAAAAGGGGAATGAATAGCCTGTCTCATCTTAGGGTAAATTCTCTTAAACTAATTTTTAAGTTATGTCGAACTTGTTACTTGATTTCTTTATAGATTAGATGATAACAATTGATCTAAGGCATGAAATTGTTGTACAAAGTGGCATCTTCACACTGGCCAATGAATGGATTTGCATTAACTTGAAAAGGCAGTTAATTGTAGTGATACCAGGTAACTACATATCCCTCTATTGTTGTCGAAAACTTAATTAGTTCCAAACACTTTCTAGAGCTTTATGATTTTTATTTTTCCTGTTATTTGATTTTGGCTTGTTTCCTGGAAAAGGTAAAATTGGCATTTGAATGGCTGTTGCTTGTCTGATGGGTTCTGACATCTCTCTTTTGGCAGCAATATATACATCATGTCGAGGCTCAGCTTCAGGAAGAAATGTCACGACACGCCCCTCTGTATGGTGCCGGTTTGGAAACTTTATCAATGAAGGAGTTGGAGACGTTGTCACACATTCATGAAGAAGGACTTCAACAGATACGTGCCATCCAGCACCATAAAGGAAGTCCAGCTGGCAGTCCTCTTGTAAGTCCCCACAACCTTCCACCCACGCATGGGTTGTACCCAGCTGCTCCGCCGCCAATGGCGGTAGGATTGCCCCCTTCAATAATCCCAAATGGAGTTGGGGTCCACAGTAATGGGCATGTAAATGGTGCGGGTGGACCCTGGTTCAGTCGTTCTTGAAAATGGGGCAACTTCGTCCTGTGGCAAGATACTACCTATTAACAGCTCGGTAGCTTTCCAAGATAAAGGGATTCTTATCTTTTTCTGAATTTTTTTTTTTTTTTTGGGCATTTTGGCTGGTGGACCTGTGAGTGTTCGGTACATATTCTTATGCTACCTGGGCATGTGAGTCCAATAGAACTAACAGTTGCAAATGCCATATTTGAGTCGATCCTCACTTAAATTAATTGAAATCATCGAGAAAGTTTTGTTTTCTCATCTAACTTCTTTGCATTTTCTTTTATTATCCTGTCACCCCTCTGTGCTCTTGCGGGTCGAAGTTTTAGGCATTTAGCTTACCATGAGATTCATCTATGGTCGTATTGTTTTGTTTTCTGCGATAGAATTGCTTGCTGTAGGGTATGGGGCTACAGAGATACAGAGTGATCCATTTTTTAATACATTTTATGGTAGGGATTTTGATACCCCCCTGCCCTGCGCCCCGCCCCCAAAAAAAAGGTGGTTGACAGATCTGTGTACACTCCCCCGGGGGGCACCCAATAAAAAAAATCGTGGCCCTCCCTCTTGTGAAGGGAGTGTACATGGGCGTAGCAACGCTGTGTACGTATAGCATGCTCCTTATGGTAGTAAATGCTTTTTTACTTTATGTTATATCTTCTTAACTAGAAGCTGATAATTCGAAATCGAAGAGGACCTCCCTAGAAAGTATTATAATACAAGACTTTTAGAAGCCGGTAGCCTGTATAGTCTTTCTATTGAGAGGGCTTTCCTCCACAACTATTTTCTAAGCCACACCACATGGATGTTCGTGGGATGCGTTTTAACTTAAATGTGGCGGGTTAATTATGTGAACGGTACATGAGCATACGTGAATTGAACTTCATTTTCAATGGCCCTCCGTATGAAATTTGAGACATGCCAGTCAAATTTATACTTGTTTCAAAATTCTGCCTCTGAACGAGTAAATTTTATTTTGTTTCAGATCAATTGCTGAACTAAATTTTGATTTCATTTCATTGAACTTAAATTATTTTATTACAATTTGATCATCCATTACACGATCAAATTTAAATGGATCAATTCAAAACAATATAAATTTTAGTCGCCCACATAAAGTTTTGGTGAAAAATAATTACGTCTCCTCACATTTTAAATACAATTGAGACAATAAATGAGGACGAAAGTTTGCTTGATCAACCATTCAGAGCAAGCACTTTTGAGTTACTATTTCAGTGAGGACATATTTTGCAGAAGCATTGACATACATGTTGAATTAAAAATAAATTGTTACTTATACCCTGTCATTGTCTAGTGTTGAACAAAGCAATTAAGAGTTGAATAATCTTTTTAACTTGGAGATACTAATTTGCAAGAGAAAATTGCATAATTGGTCCTTCGTCCTCAACTAATTTATCGTCACAGTCTGGTCGCAGCCGATATATTTCATTGTTTTGGCTGTTAAAGGTCAATTTGTTTTTTAAAGGAAGGTCATTAAGTTGGGGCATGTTTGATGTATATTATTTTAGAATAGATTTTGTGAAAATTGGTTTTTGGAGAATGTGTAGTTAAAAGATAGGAAAAAGTTATGATCCACGTGTACTATTATTTTATTGAGAGAATGTGATTGAAAATGAACTTTGGAAAAACGTGGGCTTAAGTTGTTATTACCTTAAATGCAAGAATAGGAGATGGCTCATGTGTTGGGAAATTATTTAACTTGTCATGTGGCCTATATATGTAATTAATTAGTTGTGTATAAATGTTACTTTAAAGTTAAGTTTAAAATTAAAGCGATCTAATAAAGAATTTAAGTAATTGAATTTAAGGCATCTAAATAAAGTGAGTCGAAATATATGTGTAGAAGTCGGATTCCTTTAGAATTGTATTTCATAATGTGTGAAATACATAAAGAAAATATATTTAAGGTTATAGTTTCCAATTTATATACAACTTCTCATTTTTTTGTGTCATCTTATCAACATATCCTACAGTCCAGAACATACAATCTACAATCAAGAATCAAGATTATGAATCAAGAACAAAAATCAAAGAATCCAATAAGGCAAAATTCAAGATTGAAAGCAATAAACCAATCAAGAAGGAATTCTAAGTTGATTTTCAAGATTTAAGATTCGAAATCAAGATTCAGTAATAAAAAATCATTTCCAAAGAATTAAGGTATGTTTCGCATTATTAATTTTCTTGATGATTTGACAAGGAGGATCTTGATAATAAAATAATTAGGTTTTCATGTTATTAAGATAATAAGATTTAAAGTTTTATAAAATATCAACATCATGTTGTTAACGGCATCATGTAGATAGTTATAATGTATGATCAAGCTCTTAATATTAATTGAATCAAATTACTCAATCTGTAATTCAACTTATATATTTTGTATTCTAAAAAGGCAAAATTTATATAATTAATTCATTTTTATGAAAAAATTGACTAGGACTTCACTACAGAGAATTACACTGCAGGGAAGCATATAAACGGCCTATGAACATTTATCCCACCCTTAAATTTAATCTCCTAAGCCATACAGAATGTAATATCATATGAAACACATCAAACCTCTTCGCTGGCTTGTTTAGCACAAAATGTCTCCTTACAGCCCTGAGTCCCTCCTTCAGCCTCCTATACTCGTCTTCCGACACGGCCATCAGAATCTCCTTCAACCTAGGAATTTTCGAAACTTCAACCTGTATCGAAAAGGCCTCCCATCTTAACACATCACTGAAGGGCAACACATAGTGATCAGATAATATGACCGGGATGCATTCAGCATAAATGGCCTCGACAATTCTTGGACTAGCAACTTCGTACCCACTAGGACATAAGCAAAACCTCGACTGTAACAAGAAGTTGTAATAGTCTAGATCTTTAGGAAGGTACTCATATACACGAATGTCCGAATCCCGGTTTTTCCAATGTTGGAGGAGGATCGGCCTAATGGGGCCGTGAACTCCACCAGCAAAAAATGCGAGAAGCGGCCTTGAACTGTTAAATGGCGGGGGATGGAGCAGCTTTGAGGGTACTTTTCCACCATACAGATGTATTTCTGGCAAGCTCACATCTTTCTTTGGATTGAATCCTTCAGAAGAATTGGCATTGCATAATACCCGAATTGATGTGTTGTATAGAAATGCATTGCCTTGTGAAGTCATGGGCCCCTGGTACAATTTAAACAGCAAAATTTCATTATCTTTCTTTAATACCCAAAAAAAAAATAAAAAAAAAATGTTGTACATATTAATCACGCGACACAATCTTTCAAATAAACTAGAAATCGGCATATAAATCAAAAACTGTGAGTGAACCGGTTTATAGCATCGTTCCACTTGGTCTCTTTATGTTTCCAAATTACTCATGTTACTCATTTTCATTTTTGTTTCATTATTGAATTAATTACACACTTTTTCATATCACGTCAGCATTACGTTAATTCAGAGTAGATGGAGTGTCTAAATTGCAACAAAACTAAAAGTTCTATGACCGGAGTGAAACATCGTTATAAATTTCGCTGAGTAACAATGTTTGTGATAGAAGTTTTCTGGTGTTTCATGGTTATAGGCCATAAAAGCCAATTCTATTTATTGTTTCCAAGTAATTAAGGTCGGCATTCAAATATTATTGAAACAGGGAATTAATTGTGCTTACCCAATCATGGCAGGAAACCATGAAATGATCAGCTCCTTGAGTTTTATTCCAAAACGAGTGTTTCCTCGAGATGATTCTCACATAATCAGACACGAACTCCTTGAGTGGGGTGACATTGTATGTGTTAGGCTGGTAGAGGTACCTGACCATCCATGTTACACTAAAGGGCATGAAGTAAACATGAGCAGCTTCTGGATTTCTTGTCCTGAATTTATTGTTACTCTTTTCCATCTCATGTATGAACCTTCCTTCACTAGTGTATATGTTTTTACATGGCCCATCATGCACTAATGGTAACTCTCCTTCTTCATATACATAAACCTTGAATCTTCTTTCCATTTCCACGTAACTCCTGCATTTGGAGCATGCTAATAAGTTCTAAGAAAATAACACATTATCAAAGCAAATGTATTGTTATTTTGAAATCTCTAATTCTCGAGATGGATTAGGTAGAGTAGAGAAAAAGGACTTAAATTTATGGGGAAAATGGTGCTATTTGTTCCTAATCTATTCCCACGATAGCTGGAGGGTCCTCAACCATTATAAAATAGCAGAAGAATCAACAACCTTTGGTTGTAGTTATACAATTAGTCTTCAATGACAAAAATCATTCAAATCTCCGTTATCTTACTTTATGAAACTATATTTTATTTGTTGAATTGTTGCCTAGAAATTGGAAGTGAAATATATTTTCTTGAGGGTCATGCAATGATTTGACAAAGATTTGACCAGTTTCCAACATTTGGACTGATTGTGTAAGTATAGTGAAATGCCAGGGATCAACTTGCTCCTTTTTAAAGGTAGAGGCCATCTTGTTACTGAAACTTAATTTGGTACCAATAAGTGCAATATTCCTAATTTATTGGGAGATTCTTTAAACTTTTCAACCTGCAAAAGGAAGGTATAAATGTCAAACCATCTGGTACGACACTTTAAATTAGTACGAAATTTTGAAACACAGAGGAATGAAATTGATTGACTCCCAGTTAATAGAAAGAATTAGATTTTGACGCCATCCAGTGGTGAGCTATTTATACTACAAGAAGGTAGCAGAACGTACAACCAAACTAATTATTACACTAAATAACTGCTATTATTGAATTATTTCTTGTCTCCATTCCTGAAATTTGAACTCTCAAAATTGCGAGGAATGAACCATAATTCTAGGATTAATAACCAACAGGGGCTGCACAGGTGCTGCTTTGGCTGCACTGTGTAGTTGAATTTATTTATTTTACTTTTTGTCCATATCCAATTGAATGATGCCACATTCCCTCTATATTGATCATGGCAGTTCTTTCCCTATACATCAAGCAAGGTTCGTAATTCTATTCTATCTCATTCAATTTGCTTATATCCTTACGTTAAAGATATAATCAATGATTTCAAATTCAGAAATACTTTTTAATTGTAAATTATAGTATACATTTTTTTAGCAAGGATACATTTAAACTAATATAGAATTGTTCAAAATTTTTACAATATGTAAATAAAGAAAAAATATTATCTTAATATATAATGCTAAATAGGTTCAATATTCAGGGTTCATGTTGATTATAAGTATATATTCCCATCCTCTAAACTTCTAAAAGTATACAAGTTTTTCATGAAAAACGGT